AATTTTCCTTTCATGAGTGATGTCAACCTAACACCCATACATCGAATCACATGCTAGAGTTTCTTCCAGAGGTTGGTCAACAATATCTTCTAGCTAATAGAAAGGTATTTCAAAGTTAATAATGTTTTAACACAGGATTCAAAATCAAAAGAGAACATTTCCAGTCACCCAATGTTTCAAATAGTGAAAACAGACAACTTAGAATGGATCAGTTAATTGTAAAAAAGGTCAGTTCAGCACTGGTAGGAAATAGGTCTGAATATCAAAGTAGATTTTTCCAAAGAAAAGAGACATTTTTCAAATCAGTGTGTAGCACTGCAAAATCTCATGGCAAAAAAAAAAAAAAAAAAAGAAAAGGAAAAATCACATAAGAAATGAAATGGCTGAAGATGAAAGGATTGTTGCTATTGAGACTAAAAGTTAAATTTTAGCCAAATATATTTAAAACATGAACAGGCACAGCGAGAGCCACCAGTGTTCACAGTTAGAGGCAGGACAAAGTGGCAGTGATCTTTCTGACAAATAAATGGCTTGAAATATTGCCATGACATGCTACACAACACCCCGATTACTTGCAATTTCCAAGTGCAACCAAAAGATGGGTCCAATTATGACATCAATACAAGCTTTCTTTCAGAATGGAATGAAAGAACAGTAAATCCCAGTGGCCACGGGAGTTCTGCAGCAGCGATGATGTCATATATAAAAATAGACATCCTCTAACAGAAGCTGAAACTTGTGTAAACAGCACACTGCACACTATTCTCAACTGCCTTGCATGAATTTGCAGTGCATGCTGTTAATAGCACGAGATTAATCATGTCATATTTTACACTATTTCCTGATTTACATTTCAATTTCTAAACAGACTCTATGGTGTACTTTCTCAATCTGTATAAATTAAATCAACATAAATACCTGATTATAACTGCAAGAAAGAGAAATGGTCCCCCCAAAGCAAGGAGACAGAGACCATCGCAGCAGCTCTAACAGGCTGCATTTTGCCAGGAATGCAACGCTCTTATGTCCACCTATTGTTCAAAGACCTTTCCGCAGGAAGCTTTCTGCAGGATTTTAAAATGCAACATGGTCTCGGTGAGGAGGGGCCAGTAAACCTGCTGAGAATAAGCATGAAAAGCAAAGGATACTTTTGCCACTTCTCTTTAAGAGACTCTCTGATGCAAATATAAAGACTTCGGGGCATGCATACAACAGTATCTACCAAAATGTGGGGAGGGCAGGCTTGTATCTATCACTCCTATCACAGTCTATCCACATCCCCTCTTTCCCTTCTTTACTTCCCAATTCATTTCTTTTTCACATTTCTATTGGGCTTTCTTGGATTAAAGAAGATTTTCCTTTGAGCAAAGACAGTAAGGCCATTCAGGAAGCCACGTCGGATTCCTCAAGATGCCTGGTTTTTGAGCCTCCACGGTACCTGGATTTCCCTCTATCTTAACTGCCGTCGATTTATCTGTATTTTGTGCGAGGCCATAAAGTCAATGGGGGCAGATTCTGTCTGTCCTGTAGACCTTTACAGCCATGGAGTCCGGCACAGCCCTGAAACAAGGTGGGCGCTCAGTAATATTCATTAAAATAATAAAAACCTACAAATGAAAATACTGAGCTTTCCTCTATGATACAAGAAACAGAATACACAGATTTTCTGAAACTCCATCCTATTATAATTCACAGAGAGGGATTGAGGACCACACTGAAGACAACAGCTTTAGATTTAATTAAGCAAACAAACGCCTGATGAAAGATGAAGAATAAAAATATTCAAATAATTAAGAAATTTCCCCATACTTGAATAATTTCTGTATATGCACATAAACAGATTTTAAATATCATCACTGAATAAATTAGTCAAGTGGGATATGAACTGACTGTTATAAGTTAAAATCTTAAGACCTTAATATTCTAGGAAATTTAGTAGACCCACAAGTCACTGATACGCAACACATGCTCTTACTGTTAAGTAGCATATATTGGATTAAAGTAGGAAGACCTCAGTGAAAAAGTAAAGAATAAGTGACAAAGCAAAGCCGTAACGTGAGGGAAAATATTGCCTATTTCTAATGCGAGAACAACAGCTCATGTCAAAAAGTCTAATGTCAAATAAATGTGCATCATCACACAAACACTGTAATTTTCTCATGTTTCAATATTTAAATTTTTTTGAAATTAACCTACTAAGAAGTCCTTAACTGAAGATGAAACCAACTTAAATCAAATCCATCACTTAAAAAAAAGTGATAGATTATATTCAGAGATATATAAGATATATATAACTTAGGAATGATTACCATTAGAAGAAATAGTACTTGTCTTATATTATGAAGAATAACCTTATTAAAAATAGGACTCATTTTCATACGCCTCCTGTAAGAATCAACCTTATTACACTGGTGCTACGTTAAAGATATTGTATTCTCGCTGACTATAATAAAAAAATTAATTCCATGATGTTTTTGTAATATTACATTGTATTTGACTTAGATTATATTAACTTACTTTTATGCAGTATTTTTATTTCTTTTGTACACCTGCACCAAGAACTTTAAACTAAGCCTGACCTACAGAAAAATTCAATACATAATTATTAAACGGTGCCCTGAAGTGTATATTCCCATTGTAGAAAAGGATTACTAACAGAATGTGTGGGAAATACCTTTTTCTATGACCGATGGGTTCCCCTTAGGGGTTCTCCTTATTAAAAGTTTGCACTGATTGGAAACTTTATAAATAAGTTTTATGTTATATTGTGTTTGAATCCTCCTAATTCAAATTTGTATAAAGTAAAGCCACACTTTGGGGGGTGCGTAGGAGTGGAGGTGGAAAGTCAATCGGAACCTCAAAGAGTGGAGAGCATTTTAATTATGCAACCAGCCCTGGAACGCTGCAACAGTAGGAAACGTCAGTTGGTACACATCACCTCCACAGTTTAGATGGGACAACTTTTCCTCAGTCTTCAGTCTAATATCTCTGTACAATTTTCACACTTTCTAAACGAGGAAGAGAGCAGAGCTGTTTTTTTCTTTTTCCCATAAAAAAAAAAAAAAGGAATAAAAAGATGACAGAACAGGTATGTGCAGGTACGTGCCAGCTTCCCCATCCCGGCATCCAGGTGAAAGAAAGAAGGCCCTTCTTCCCTTTTAAGTCCTCTCCCTCTCCTCTCCATTCTTACTATGGAACTCACATTTCCCTACCCACCCAAACTTCTAGAATAAATTACCCATCAATGCAGACGGGGCCTGTAATTAGGGGTAAAATAAACAGGTTCCCCCCCCACCCTATTCCGAGCCTGTCGACAAGGTAAACCTGTCCAAAGTCCCAAGTCAGTCTAGAAATGACCCCGAATTCCCCAGCCTCCGCCGGGAACCTTATCCAGGACCTGACTCTGCCACCTGCCTCTCCCCACTCAAAGACTGAAAATTCGTGCCGCATCCTGTTTTCTGGCAGTCTTAAACACAGCCTCAACCCAACTCATCAAAATGTAAGGAAATGCTAATGAAAGCCATCTCCAATCTTGCCTTCTCACTGCATTTTAAAATGCTTATTCTCTGCAAACCTCACACACTTGCCTTGAAAAAGTGACCTGAAAGCACTCTGCATGGACTGTGCGAGTATTCGTGTTTCTGAAGAAATTACTATCATCTGTCTTAAACTGCTGCAACACGTCTAATTTTTTAAAGCGTACATAAGGTATACATCATAACCCAGTGCACATTTTAAATTCAATTCCTACTTCTACATGGGAATTAGACTAACCTGTCATTTCTCATACTGAACAAGAGGACTAATTACATACCGGTGTACCTTTTAAAATATTAAAGTTATATACGTTTTAAGTATACATGTACTAGATAAAAGCTCAAAACACTGGCACAATTTAAAAAATTTTTATACAATTTTACAAGAATCTTATCAAATTTAAAAACTAGCAACATTTTTTTAGATTTACCACATCACTGAAAAATTAGCAGCGCTTCTAAAATAAAATACAGCTATTATGTCACCTGTGACATTTTAATATGCATTATATTGTATAGAACGTAAAGTAATGGCCTTATTTTAATTTGAAAAGTTATACAAATATTTCGTGTTTTCAGGCGAGGTTACTGTAATAGCCAAAGACATTACATTGACAGTAGCCTTCCACTAATGTGAATTAAATTATTCATGATCTTTTTCGTGGGCAATAAGAAGACACAACCACAAACATTTCACTAGTTACTTAACCAATTAGTTTCCAGAGATAAATGAGTTTTTCTTCCCTGACTCCAAATTCCCTGATAACCCCAAATTTGACCCCAAATTTCAAACGAGTAATGCTGAAACCGTAAATTAGTCACATATTGGCATGAAACAAATGAGCAAAGATATTATTATAGGCCTCAATTAAAATACAGAATGAAATAAAAGCATGAAATCTGGTTAAAAATCAAGCGCAAATAAGAAAACGCAAGCGAAGTGTAAATTCTTATTTCCTTTTTGACAAAGCCTTTATTCTGACTAAAATTTTACCAGTGGTCTCCCAAAATGCTCTCACACTGGGATTCCTGAAATTTAAAGCTTTCACCTCTAGCCTTTAAAATGTAGATGTCTAATGGATTTCCCATAAAACTTTCACACAAAAAGCAGTTAAACACCCACGATGCCTATCTGCCTGTCTTTCTCTCTCCATTTCTTTATGCGCCAAGCAGGTTAGGTAAGAACTGTGCTCCACTCATTCTTAAAAATACGTAGTCTGCACTTTTATTCGTTCTTCAAAGAAAGTGAGCAATTTGTCCCTAGGTCTGCACAAATAAAGCAGCCTGTGACATCAACCAAACCACTGACCGTTTCAAAGTTGTAAGGGGTTTTACTAAATCAGGGCAAAATACAAAAGAACAAGACGAAGCAAAACACATCAATGTTATAAACTCATTAGTTACAATGCAAATTCACAGATGAACTGAGGTTAGTATTAGGAGACCACACACAGATTACAATACCTGAGATTTAGTGCATTCCTTTGAGCCAAAATGAAATGAGTGCCATAGAGGAGGAAAGGAGAAGATGACATTATCAGACATGCTACAGTACATCTGCCAAAATGAAGATCAGGTTAAATCAGGTTAAGAATGACCATACAGCACTGGCTACATGTATGATGTCCTTTATGTTCCTTAGCCATGCACCTGAAATGCACCTGCAACCATTTAGGTCGCCTGTGAAGGAGGACCATGCACCTTTTCAACCAACTTTGCACCCTGGCTCCCACCTTACTAGGGTTCTTTCAAAAGGAGTATTTCTGCTCAGAATAAGTAAATGTGACTTAGGGCTAATTTTGTTGTTTTCATATGTTAAAATCATGTACGTAGGCAAAATAATAATTATATAAATAAAATTAAAACACAATTTGCATGAAAAGACGGGATTCAATATTTAGAATTATGACACTTGTTGCCCATCTGAACTCACTTAGAAAAATTAACACCACCATGTCACGTATTAGCAAACTGGTACCTGATCCATCAGTGAGCAAGTGAAATTTTTCACCCTAGTACTGAATTTTCCCTCATAAAAGTACCTGTTGACCAGGTAAGACATTTTTTAAAACCACTAAAAAAAAAGGAATCTTGAATAATTTTTAAAAACTACACGTTTACAAAAAAATCAGATTAAAAAGGGGGAGTCATGTAGGGGAGGTGGGTGAAGTATTACATAAAGGGGGAAAACATGGGGCTAGGAGAGAGAAATAATTATAAAATGACACCCCCCAACTTAAATGGGACAAATATAACTATAAAATCAAACCATTCAGCTTGAACGCTAAATCTTTAGTAACCCACACTGCCGCTAAATATCTTGGTGTAGAATCTGACTTGGAAACATAATTCCAAAGCAGAAAGAGTATTAACAATATTAGTAGGTTGTACTAGTAATGTGTACAACTATTTTTAATCCATAGTTCCTTCTTCCACGATGCTACATTGACACTAAAAATACTACCTTCTTGTATAGACAATGGTAACAAAAAACCTTTCATAGGTTTTTTTCAAAAAAATACCAAGGCTCTGCAGCAGGCAAACAAAGCTGACTTTATGATGAGCAAAAAGCAACCCTTTGCAAATGAGCTCAATGAAATGATTCAACTATGAAATTCATGGGAAATTAAAATTGTGCGCATGGGCAGTGAGAGGAGCAGGCTGAGAGCTGGTGGCCAAAACTGCCTGAATATTCAAATACAAAGGGCTCTCAGAAATAGAACACATCAAGTGCGGGTATCAGATGCATCACTCCAAGTTACCAGAAAATTAAGTACATAGTTTTAAGTCTATATACATTTTCCCATGCGGTTTGCATTTATACTTATTTGCAAAAAGAAAGAAGAGGATACGAAAGACAAATAAGAAATGTAAAATAGTTGTCGTTTACCTATTTTTATTTTTTCATGTTTATTTTAAAATTAATTTCACGAATGAGTGCTCATTTAATGGTATTGTAAGTATAGATGAACCATATTTGACCTTATTATGACATATGGAAGAATTCAAGTTACGTTCTTCTTGAAAACAGAAATCCTCAAATATATTTGCCACTATTCTGGGTGGGCCACCGGGGGACATGGACACAGCACAGCTGAGCAGAGAGAAATGAGTGAGAAAAATAAGGCTCCCAAACTGACTACGCTGGGGTCTTGTACAAATCAATCATTATCTGTGCCTCGGTTTCCTCAAACATAAGAAGTAGTTTCTTCACCTAATATTTACGGAATAAATGACGATCAAGTGGTGAAAGTATTAAAGAGGACCTCTGAACCTGTTAGAAATGCTTCAGACCATCTTTACACTGGGATTTACAGAAGCATCATTTCAAATTATGCTCTCACTTCATCATATTAAAAACAAAAAATTCTCAGATAATATTCTCACAATGGTATGAAGATAATAGGTAATTTTTAAATATCTAACTTTTGAATAAAAAACAGGTATGATACCTGTCACTGGGGACGGTGAGGGAAAGGGCAACATTTTAGATTAAGATCAGAACCTAAAAATATCCCAGTTACAACTGTACATGCTCACCACAAAGCTGATCCTCAGAGACCATGTTAAGAAATAAAAAGGCTAAACAATGCCTTTTGATACCTCATTTCAATGCTCCTTAAACTATTCATATTATGTGTTTCCAGAAAAATCTGCACTTTGAGTAAGTATACCACAGAAAGGAATTATTCATCAAAAATGGAAAATGTATGCCCTTTCACAAAACTCCCACCAAAAAGCTATAAAGATAATTATTATACTTGTGTAACTTACCGTATGATAGCCTCTAGGCAAAGGTGGTTTGCCCACAGGATAAGGATCCACAGTGTCGATAATCGTTTGTCTTTCCCCTTTCTGGTTGATTTTTCTAAATCTCCTTCGAGACTGTCGATGAGAAGCTTGACGCTGAAAATATTCTTCATTTTCATCCATATAGTCTACCTGAAATAAAATCCCCCAAGATTTCATTTCTTCCAACACCATGTTCCATATTAAGATTAGATGCAGAATAAAACTTACGGATAGTCTACATTCATTCACTGTGCAAAGACATTTGTAGACAAACTATCTCGACAGACTTCAGATGTTTCTGAACTTCCCTAGAACTAACTGGTTCTGAGTAACTTTTCTTTATAAAAGAGAAGAGGCATTTTCAGTTCCACTTAGGACAATATGGGTAACTCCTGAATTTCCTGCAGTCTCAAAGGGAAGGATATTTTCAGTAGTCTTTGTTCTGATTTATTAATGAAAGATCTCACAGGATACATCACCATGCATTATGAAAGCAACTGCCCCATTGTCTTAACTAAAGCACAAAAACTCTCATGAAGTAAATCTGTTTAAAAAAAAAAAAAAACCACCCAAATCCCAAATGACTCAGACACGACTACTGGCAGAATGACTTTGGTAGATTACTTAAGAGCTTCTCTTCCTACTTTCATTCTACGGATTCAGTTTCTTTTTTTTTTTATTATAAATAGCATTGTTCTCAAAACATAATTTCCTCATTTTAAACATTTAGAAAGTGATGAATGGACTAACAGAAGAAAAGTTACGTTCGGTTAGTCCCCGTCACACTTACATAATGTATTGCTCACAAAAGCGTATTTAGATTCTAAGATGGTTCTCACACTGACAAACCTAGTAGTTAGCATCATATGGACAAGGACAAAATCCTCAAGGAATTTTGGAGATCAAAAATCCTTCAGATCAACACAAAATAGCAGTAACAGAGACCAAAATCTCGAGGGAATATCTAAAATGCTTTTCAAGACCTGTGGCTGGAAAGCCCAACGTATCTGCCTACATTTTTCCACTCCTAAATCTTTACTCACCACCATGCCACTTTCTCACTTAACAGTAAATTTTGGGAAATTTTACCAAAAGTTTTCACTAGCTTTGATGAGGAAGTTCCCATTTCTGACAAATTCCTCTCCTCCATCATAGGGAAAAAACCTACATCTCCTCTGAAAATAGATGTATAGGCACTTACCAAATATTTTATTAAATATGAATAAAAAGCCTCCATCATCATCTATTTTAGGCCATAATTTATTCAAAAAGTTTCCTTGCCCAGAGAGATGCTGGATGGGAAATATTATGCACATCAGCCAACTGAATGTCTCTACTGGGCACTCCCTCCAGTCTTATTTTTGTTGCTGATTTTTTTAAGGGGTCCATAGTGTCCCATCTTAAAATCATTTTTATATAGTAAGGAAGCATGTGACAGGCTTTTCTTCAAGCATCAGTAAAAATAATTATGTTGCTAATATCTCTTCTAACGTTATGTTTTTTTGCATATGTCTTACCTCAATATATTTTTTAAATCACACTATTCAATTAAAAAGAGATAAAAATCTCAACAGAGTATTTAACCAGCATAAAAGTCCTCCAAATTTCTTTCAATTAGATAAAGGAAGTGAACTGATTTCCTTATGTCAATTGTTGCCTGAATATATATCACTGTGTCTCATTTAAAGTATCTCACTCATTCCAACCAATATTTGGAGAGCTAAAATCCTGCAATTCCAAGATTCTCCCCAAGTTTAAATTAAATGGCATTTTCATAGACTGATTTATAAAGTTCAAACACCAAACATTTAGGTACGTGACCCTTTTAAACTTTCTTTTTCATTATTTGAATCCCGTAAATAATTATAATGATTATGAATTAAAACTCAAAAAGTTATGAAATAAATATACCTAAAGTTATGAAATATAATACGCTATTATAAGTAGTTTGTGAAAATACTTTTATTTCATAACTTTTTTTAAGGGAAAAAAGTCTTCACAGAAGTATTCTTACCACAATCATTTCAGAAGGCTCTAACACAATGCATTCACAGCCACGCCTAAAGCTTCCTGCAGAACGCTTGCCAAAACTAGAAAGAAAAAAAAGATTTAAGTAATACAAATTATGAATTTAAGCTAACCCTTCAGATGAATAAAAACAAGGAAGAAAACAACTATAAAAAATATATACTGAAGAAAGAGCTATCTCAAACCATTATTTACACAGAATGACAAGGAACCATTCAAATTTTTAAATCTCAGATATATTTTTCTGGAAAATTCCAATATAACATTTTTGAATTCATAATGTAAGTAATGAAGAATCATTATGAATGTGTTTTGGGTTAGACTGTTTGAAACCACACCCAGGCAGGTGAAGATTTAGAATATTCTAACAGGGGTGGGAATTGGATCAGTGGCAAACTGTAAAAATACCCAAAGTATAAAATGCATATAACCCTCTTCTATAACTTAGTTTGCTTAGGTTAAACATTTCTTTCACTTAAAAATGTAGTTATTTTTCTAAATTTTCAAATCAACTTATTCAAAATCAGTTTAAGGAAAAGGTATTCAACTCAGGGCTTTCAACTACACAGTGACTCAAGTGGACATGCATTCCCAAAGCCCCTTTCCGCGTGAACACTGCACTGCCGACCTCAGACATGGCGCCTCTGCCCCATCTGTGGAAATACCCACTAGAGCAGATTTATTCTCTCTGGCATAGCTATATGCCAACTAGAGCCACGAAGAGTTCTAAGTAGTCATGACTTGTTCTGCTAACGTACCACCTACCTCTGCTCATTCACTACTCCAAAAGGCCTCCCTTCCCTCCAGTCAACATCTTAGCACCCTTTTTTTTTGTGGCCACACCGTGCAGCATGGGGGATCTTAATTTCCCAACCAGGGATCGAACCCGCGGCCCCTGCAGTGGAAACGCGGAGGTACGGAGTCTTAACCACTGGGCTGCCAGGGAAGTCCCAGTAATCATTTTTAATCATTTTTGAGAAAAATATGAGGAAAAAACGCTTCCAAAGAGCTATTTTATCAAGCATTTTTTCCCCAAATCAATTAGACATTTGAGCGGCTCCTATGGACATTCTCATTCCTTGTATAACTCTATGTCATGGTAGTACACAATGTTTCACATATTAGAACCCAACTTGGATTAGGAAAAAAAAAAAAAGTCATGTAAGATGAAGAGAACCAGAAAGTCAAGGTCCTCACTCTACCAGCCTGTGACCTCTAGCAAACCAACTTGACCATCCTCATAGTCTAAACTGTACTCATTTTTAAGGTTATCGGGTGAGCCCAGGCCATCACTGAAGTCATTTCTTGCTCCAAAATTGTTTCTATGAAAATCAAAAAGAACCATACTTAGCATATCTGAAAAATCCTTCAAAAAATATTCATACATACATATTCTTACAACCATACATATTGAAGTGCTTTTTTTAAGTGGAAAAAAATCTACCAAGAAAAATAAAATAATCTTATCTTCTTTGTCATGTTATTTCACATGCAATTAAAATGACCTAAATTTTTACATATTCTCCTCTTAGTTTACAATTAAAAACCACTGAAGTTGCGGAAAATTCTCAACACACACAAAAATGTGCTTCTGGTTTTTGAAACTACCTACTTGCAATTTAAGTTTTTACAATGAAGCTTATAATTTAATGATGCACTACAAACTAAGAAATAATCTCAGTGTGTTAGTAAAACATGTAGCAGGTTTCATGCCATCATTGCCCGTTGAACCCTGTTATAGGACTAGGTAAAAACATATATTGTATGTTTAAGTTTTATCACTAAATAAAATAGCATTAAAATCTAAAGAAAACCATGTGACTCTAAGTTTTTTCGTATTTTATTAAATTACAGAACCAGACAAGCTTCATAATCATAATGATCGACTGGTTTTCCTTTTTTAAAATTTCATGTAGTAAAAAAAAAAAAAAGTCAAACGTCTATAACACATACAATGTTCAGATGACAACTTAAAAGATAAAAACTGCTAGAATTGAGTTGCTCACAAATTTTAGCAACAAAAGTAGTGACATCAACACGAATAAACTATGTGGTATTTGTTTATTTTATGCCTAATTCTAGTACCAACCACTCCGTACTCCAGAATTAAGGCTGTAAAACCCCTTACCCATCAGCCATTAGTTCAACAGAACTTTATGGCTGAGAAGATATTCATGTATTTAGTTGCACTCACACTATTACTCTAGGGATGAAAAGTGTGCATCCCCTAAGATGAGCTACAAAAAATATCTCTATGCCTTTTGCAAAGTGAGCTGCACTAAAACCTAACAAAACTCTCTTTGAAGCCCCAAAAGACTCAGGTTCTACTGACCATCACAAAGATGTGAACCATAGGAGAAAAAATAGACTCTTGTCAGGTTAATTCTTTGAATACATTGAGGGGGAAAAGGCAAATGCACAGAGAACCCACTCCAGCAAGGGAGAATAAATTATTTCATTTATCCAAAAATCCATTGTTTCGAACACAGCCAAGAACCCAGAAGGAAAGAGTGGCCTCAGAAGAGCTAAGGCGCAAGTCATGAACGCACTCACTGGGGCCTAATGACAAGGTCCCTTGGCTCTTAGCTTACAAACCAGAAGCTGTAAGGTAGGAATGGTCAGGGAGGAATGAAAAACGTCACCTAGAAACCCATTCAGCCCACAAAATACTTCTGCTTCTACTCTCTGATTCTTTGAAACAATAAATATAGAAACAAAAGTAAGTAAACACCATTATTTACTAAGTTTTAAAAAATCTCTGACCAAGTTCTATATAAATAAACTGTTTTAAAAATACAGTCCTGGACTCAAGGCTCTGTGGGGACCTAAATGGGAAGGAAATCCAAAAATGAGGGGCTATATGTATACGTATAGCTGATTCACTTTGCTGTACAGTAGAAACTAACACAACACTGTACAGCAACTATACTCCAAGAAAAATAAATAAACACATAAAAAAATTTTAAAAATACAGTCCTGGAAAACTTTAGAGATAAAAAAGGTAACTGGATAGAGACATACAGCAGGTAAGATCTCCCACAGATGATATTAAGACCAAATTTTTAAGATATTTTAGATGATTTAGTAGGAAGAAATGGAGAGAAATCCTCAGGTGTACAAATGACACAGAGACGTTTAGATAGTAAAGCACAAAACAAAGCCAGTAAGAATAAAGTACAAGCCATTTTTATAAAGTTTTATGTGCGTATAAGAAAGCAGGAAGGACCCAACCTGCACAAGGAAATACTCTATGTGAAAAGTGATCAAATGCACAAAGTGTGTAAGATAAGATTAAACAGCAAAGAGTTCTCATGTTTCAATTAAAAGTCAAATGAAAACTAGAAGTCTTTCAAGGCACTAGCACAGTAAACTGCTAACATAATAAATAACAAATAATAAACAGAGATACACCTCAAAAGGATGGACACACTAGGAGAAATTAAAAATGAAAATTACTATACATACCCTTATAGAAAACCACATGAATCTACAATAGAGCACCGCCCCAGAAAAGTTTCTAAGGGGAAAAACACAAAGCTAAAAAGTTTCCACCAAAAAAATTAAGGGTAGCCAAAGGGCTTTCTGTAAAACCAGAGGCACAAATTAAAAGATCACTTCATTCAATCTTATTAACAGCAGCTGAAAGTTGGTATCATTTAAATTTCTAAAACCATGACTTAAGGAATTGTAGAAATGATACAGATTAAATAAGAACTTGGTTAACTTAAAAAGTACACCTACAATCCTTGAGGGTTTCAAGAAAAGTCAGAAATAGATAAAGATTGTTCCAAAGCCATTTGCCTAAATTCTCCTCCAAATGCTCCTTGGCGCCACTGTCAGAAATGAAGTTAGTCCTATCAAATGCTAGAAGAGACTACAAAAAGTGATCTACAAATTTGATGCAATTCCCATCAAAATACCCCAAAAATAGTTTTTGCGGAAAAGGAAAAACCAATCTTCACATTCATATGAAATTGCAAGGGGCCCTAATTAGCCAAAACAATCTTGAAAAACAACAGTTAGTGAACTCACACTTTTAATTTCAAAACTTACTACAAAGCTGCAGTAATCAAACCAGTGTGGTAGTGGCATAAGGATAGACACATATGGACCAATGAAATAAAACTGAGAACCCAGAAATAAACCCATATCTATGGCTAATTTTGACAAAGGTCAAGTTCATTCAACGGGGGAAGAACAGTCTCTTTAACAAATGTGCTGAGACAACTGTATTTCCACATGAAAAAGAATGCAGTTGGACCCCCACCTCTCATGACATACAAAAATTAACTGAAAACAGATCACTGACTAAATAAAAGAGCCAAAACCCATAAAACTCTTAGGGGGATAAAAGAAGGGATAAATCACCATTACCTTGGATTTGACAATGGACCCAGAGATGACACCTAAAGCACCAGCAGCAAAAGGAAAAATAAATAAACTGAACTTCATCAAAACTGAAAACTTTGGTGCATTGAAGGACATTATCAAGAAACTGAAAAGATAATCTACAGAACAGGAGAAAATATTTGCAAATCATATATCTGAGAAGGGTTTAATATCCAGAATACATGAAGAACTCCTATAGCTCAACAACAAAAAGACAACCCAATTAAAAAAGAGGCAAAGGACTTGAATAGACCTTTCTCCAAAGAAGATATATGTATCAACATCCTTAGTTATTAGGGAAAAGTAAATCAAAACCACAACGAAGCTACTCACCCAAGTTGCCCACTCTCCCCCCAAGAGTGCTTAATAAATCCTTGCTGTGCTTCCTCAAAATAAAAACAAAACAAACAAAAAGACAACAAAAAACACAACCAGATACCATATCACACCTGATACTAGATGTGAATGAGATATTAGGATGGCTATAATTAAAAAAAAAAAAAAAATGCAAAGAATGCAAAAAATGTTGAAGCGGATCTAGAGAAGCTGGAACCCTTGAATTTTGCTGTTCAGAATGTAAGGTGGTGCCGTCACTGTGGAAAAGAGTTTGGCACGTCCTCAAAAAGTTAAACACAGGATTAATATAAGACCCAGCAATTCTACTCCTAGATAA